CCGGCTGCTACCGCCGAGTCGCGCACCCACCGCCCTCCCGCCGGCCCCTTTGTTAGCTCCCTGTTCCGGGGGGCGCCCCGAGTCGCCCCCTGCAGTCATCCCCTGGGCTGTGGAGGGAGAGACACAGGCCCCTTTTCACCCGGCATCCGCAGAGGGGCTGGGTAGAGGGCACGAACTCTGCCTGGGAAGGGACCCCATCATTTTACCTCGGGCCTCGCAACCCGCTCATTTTGTGAACATTAAAATAGTAATAATAATAAAATCCTTCCATTTATTCCAAAAGCCTTTGCCAGCGCAACCCCCCAAGTTCCCTTTGAATGAGATGGCTTTGTAAGGTGGGGGGAGAAAGAGGAGACCCCCCCTCAGCTCCCGCACTGGTCTCTGCGGCCCTTATTTAGATATACGCAGAATAAGTGAAAGGGAACAAGGGGGAGAGAAAAAAGAAAATTACATAACCAGTTTTAACATTATTTTCTTGTGCTAGGAATTAAGTCATCGCCACCACCTGACGCGTGTAACCAATCTGCGGAGAGGAGAGCTCGCACCCCCTCCCTCTCGCCAGGACTGGTCCCAAACAGGATTGAACCGCTTCTAACAAAGGGTGGAAACTTCAGAAAAACAAGCCAAGAGTCCCCTATACTTCTACCGTGTCACCATTCAAACAATAGATTAGCCATCTGAAGACCCGCTGCCCCCTCGCCAAGGCTTGATTCCCTTTCTCCCCCCCTCATTATTTGATAGGAATCTATTTTGCACTGTACGTGGCTGGCACAGCAGGTTTCAATGAATGCAGCTTCCCTGAACTCCCCAACTTAGGCATGATGCTCCAGCTGGACACTTCAGGGGCTCAAAGGAGGCTTGCAGGCAGATCTTTATACCTGCCTCACTGACAGATGTGGCGCATAAAAGACATTCAGGTGATTTATTAACTTACTGGGGGGAGGGGGCGAAGAAGAAGCCACACGTGGAGTGCTGAGAGTATATGTCAAAATAAGCCACAGGGAATCCTTTATCTGCCAACAATTACCCATCCTCCGAAAGGCCTCGCATAATCGATTTGAAAAATAGGAGTTATATCCACAAACGTCCAAAAGCCTGATTCTGTCTTGCATCTCAGCATTTGATGAGAAGTTACAAAAAAGTCACTTACAAGCATTAACTAGATGGCTTGGCCCCCCAGTTCTCAGTGCAATAGGGAACACAACCCTGCTCATGTCTAGCTACAGCACTATTTTTTTTCTGACACACTTAAAATAATCATAAATTGGAAGTGCCTCTGCAAGAAGCTCTGTTCAAGACAGGTAGTTGGAGAAAGTCCTGTTTTGCAGGCACTTTGCAGATGCAGTCTGACCCACCATCAATGCCCATATCATCAAAACCTACAGCCCATAAGAGATGTAGTACATTTTCACATCCGTGAATGTTGTGGTTTTTAATGGATATAATAACCAGTCCCCCTCCAAAGACTGTTCAAGCCAAGAGGATGCGAAGATGTGCATGCCTGCTGGCATCAAAAATGACTGTGTAGGATTTTGACTCCTGAATTAAAATGAAAAAACAACAACTTACCTCTCTCGTGCCCAATTAAGATGTCCTTATGGTTGAAATATTCTACTTCTTCAGTGTAATTCTGCGTATAGGCAGTGTTGGATCCAGCATTTCTAGATTCAGTCCAGCGCACTTTTGCATGTCCTCTTGCATGAATTTTAAGAGATTTCACTCGAATTTCCCCAGTAACTTCTAAACTGACCCTTCCTGAGACTGTGTCCCCGCTAGAATAGACGGGGACGTTGCTGTCATTGAGACAGTCAAAGCTTATTGTCAAACTCTTCACCTTCCCCAGCACCATTTTTTTTTATAACAAAGTCTATAAAAATATACTGTAAGAAAAAAAACCCCAAAATCGAAGTCAAGATCTCATATAAAATGGGATCTTCACTTGACACTGATCAAAGCCTCTGCCGTGCAAAAAAGCTTGCAGGCAGGACCAGTGTCTGCTCTACAAACGCTTCATTGGGCTTGCTGGAAAAGTCACAGCACTAGCTGCTGTTCAGCTGCTACCCAGCTCTGTGGTCTCTGTACAAAGACAGGGAGGCTGCAGACTGCCAGCTCACTTTAAGACCAGCTTTGTGAAAAACAACCCCACTGCGCATGTGCGGGTGGCTGCTGCTTCCCTTCTGTCTCGCTGCTACAGGAGGTGTAACACAGAAGACGACCGTGCTGTGGAAGAGGACCTGCGTCCGCTCTCCATTGTGTCTCTTGCAGTGATCGCCCCCCTAAACTCTTTAAAACGTGCCCTTCTAGGCCAGCACCCAAAAGCTTCTAATAGCAGGCATGCAGCATTATAAATGCAGCAGAAGGAGAGTGGTCTAATGCCAGAGCCCTTACAGCTGATTCAGGACACAGCCTCGAGCCCAAAGCATTTGCTTCTGAATGCTGCTGGAAGAGGCTTGAAGAGTTGGGAGAGAAATCGGGCACATGAACTGAGGAATCTGCCCTTTATTCGGGAGAAGAGATTTTGGATGGTTCATCTGCATCAAGCACAATCTGGTGCATTCCAAAAGGCAAAATATTTGCTCTTCAGAAGTATCTTAATGAGCCAGAAATAGAAGTCGATCTTGGCAGGACTAGCTTATCCCCAGCCAGAGGGTGGGATGAACTTCACCAAAGGCAGGGAAAACCTTCTTTTGTTCGGTTCAAACCGGTTTTGGAGACCGGGAGAATCCACATATTTCAGTTATGTCTGCTGAAGGTTTGTGTCAGCTGTTCCTGCCAACCTCTGAATTCACCGGGAGAAAGAGTTTGTAGAAGGAGAAGAGCACCCGGCTTCCCATTTATATTTCATTAGCTCAGTTACTGACCCCATCTACCATTTTTATTCAGATAGTTAGCATTTTTGTTTTCTCGGCTACCTGTGTTAAAACAGGCAAGCAAGTAAAACCTCCCCAAAACAACTTGGAATGAATTTATATCTCACAGATATTTTTCTCCTTTGTTTCTGATTCCATAAGATTTAGTGCAATTCAGAGGGAGATAGCAGTACTTAAAAGTATTCTTCTATTTGAAATCAAGCAAATCCTTTTGATATAGCTGCATAAATTCAAAAGAGATGTGCTAAATGGATTCTGAGAGAAGAAACAACCAGACACTGGAGCATATTAGGCACATAGTCTTTCTAAAAGCTCTGTGCAAAACACCTTCACCGCCAAAGAGATGTTCTTTACAGGGATATTTCAAATGGATCTGTTACACAGTTCATCGACATGTTCATTGGTACACGGTCATTGCTTGACTATGCTCTCCAGATTAAACAGTTTATGGCTACATTTCTCTTTCCATGTTTATTAAATTCCATGTTCAGTAAAATAATTATTGCAATAGCTGTATAATTTAAACTGTTCATGTTAGAAAGGCTAATACGGGTTGACAGGTATATTGGCTCTACTTAGGTCTGTTTCTAAAGCAAAGTTTAGAAACGCAAACTCACTCGGTAGCTTTATGACTGTTTTCTCAGGTCATTCATGTTTAGCCTGAGTCGACACCTGGTGGAAGTTCTCATACATTTTTGTCTGGGCCATCTTCTGTTCTTGCCCTAGGATCTGTTGATACTTTTTTATGTTTTTGCACCACCCTGTGGTAAATATGAGGAACTTACTCTGCAAAAGAGAAACTATCTCATCGCTTTTTTGATGTTTAGTGTGTTTGCTCTCACCCCACCTACCGCCTACATAAGCAGCAAATCCCTTCACTGGGCATATCTTCCCTCTCCCACGTGGAAAGGAGGAGAAGGAAGAGTGACACTGTTTACAGGGCATTTTGAGCCAGAGTCTCATTTGTGGGTCTGGCATGTATGTTAGGACAGTTGTTGAAGTCCAGCTGGGCCAAGCAAATACTATCCCACTTGGATGCTTCATTCTAGAGAGATCTGACATAAAACTTAATATAGTTTAGCCCGTATTGTCCCTTTTCTGCTGCTGTTCTGGAAGCAGCAATTAACACTACTGCTGCCCTGCCCCAAATTTCCAGACCTGTGGGGAGCCCAGTAGACTGGATGACATGGCCCTGTGGGCTGAATTTGGCTCACAGCCTGGAAGCTGAGCACCACTGTTCTAGGTGGTCCTACCATTTGCCCAGTCATGTCTGCACCTCTCCTGCAGAATATCCCACCCAAACTTTCTGCTCTGCCATTCCCGCTACCTGCCTGCTCATACCCACGCTTGCTTCCACCCAGCCAGTCTCTCATCTCATACAAATATGTTGCATTTTATACATGCAACATATCATTTACATTTTTAGTGTTAAACAGATGACTGCATGCTGTCATTTTGGTCTTTGATTCATTTTATTATGTGCAGGAAATAAAGTTCAGACTAGGAGCTTTTCTTGGGACATTTTTTGGATGTGTAGATATATGTACACTTTTTATTATTATTTTTATGGGGGTTTTTTAATAAGTCATTCATAGTTTTTGTTGGCATAAATTATAATTGTTTCTTGTCTTTGTGATATGCTATTTCTTTTCTGAACTGATCATTTGAATGCTCTGTGCCATCTTGTGGTTAATGTGAAGAACTGCCTCTCCTGCCAGCCTTTTGCTCTCTCTCACCTGTTTTTTAAACCTGCAGTCTATTAATTATACTCTCTTGCCCTTTACAAACACAGCTTTATAAATCTTTCATCATCGAGCACCTAGAACTGGTTAAAATTCTCTTCTGTGTGTTTTCAATGTGAGACCTCTGGACAACCACCTTTCCTTTCCTGACCTTCATCACATATATCTTTGCTTTTAATTTTTCAACACCTGGTTATTAGATGTTAAATCATTACTGTTCATACTGAATAACTTCCTTGCCCCCCACTCCTTACAGAAATAGAAGATCCTAATTTAAGCTGTTTGACAGAGGGCAAAATATTCTAAAGCACCTAAAAGTGACTTAGCAGTCTAAGTCCCATTGAATTTCAATGAGCCTTAGTATCCTAAACCAGCTAAATACTTTTGAAAAGTTTATCCAGTGTCTTTTTAATGTAAGATTACAACTGTGAGATGACATGACCATTGCAAAATACTGGGATTTTGTTTTGAAGTCAACATATTACTTCTTAAGATCTGCACTATCATTGTAGTGCATTCTCTCATGCTAGCCTTGTGGAATTGTGTAACACAGATGAGCATTTTTAAATATAAGGCATTTTCAATTTTATTTCTGGCTATGAAAATTAGGATTTAAACTGTGTTAATTGTATTTAATAGAATCTCTGCTTGAGTTTCAATCTATTTTACCCACTTGAGTTGAGAAAGGTTTGGGGAAGTATGAAATGCTATGTGATTCTTGCTCTATATTTTGTGTAATGACTAGATAATGTAAAATATAAAACCAGTATTGGGAGCAGGGATGGAACACATGATTTCCCCCTTCTCTAATCACTAAACTAAGCAATAATCCCTCATTCATATGCACATGAATTAGTCTCTTTCTGACTCAGTGAATCTTGCATTCTTTTTCTGTACTGTGCCCCAGCTTCAAGTGGAGGGTTTGAGATGCTCAAAAGTCAAAGCAAATCCTTTTTGCAGA